GGTCGCCATGTTATTCATAGTGGTCGTAATGTTAACTTCTCTGCTCTGGTCCGGGTTGTAATATTACGTCCGCCGAAGAAAAATAAATTTGTATGTGGTGCGTCTTCTGTATACTGTTTATTCTGTGCTTATAATCATTTATTGAACAACAAGAACATATTGAAAAAAAAAATGTGTTAGTCAGTTTTTGCTGTTCAATAAATTAATATAAGTGACCTTTGCGTCAAGATGCAGGGATGGTGTCTTCAGGGACAATACTCGAGAGTTATAGCTTTAATTTAAGCCTAAGTGAAACTTTTTATCACTTTTTCTCTCTTTGCTAGAACTTCTCAAATATTCCAAGAAACCCGATTTTTTGACAATTTGACCTCGTTTTTCTCAAGATCTGGGCCAGGTGGAAACTGTATACTCACGGATTCATAATCAGAATAAAAAAGTCTATCAAAAATAGCTTAACATTTATTGAACAATAAAAAAATCGGGTACTGTTTAGTAAGTGGCCCACCTATTTCGGGGTATTGCGTCCAAAGGGGTGACCCGATCCAAAAAAAAATTGCACACACTTGTAGCCAAGGGTCTACCCATTATTTTAACATCCACTATTGTAATTTTGGGTCTCTAATTTATTTACAAATTGGGTTTGAAATATGCCCTATTTTGTAAAATTCGGAAATTAGCGTAAATTTATCACTCCTATTCTCCTTAAAGCAGCTACATCAGCAATATATTTTTATATTCTCCTTCACTTTACACTTTACTCGATGAGCTATAACTTTCTTTATAACTTTAATATTAACCAATTAATCACAATTTATTAAATAAAAACACCTTCTAAATCATGCGTCTGACTTTTGTTGCATATGCAAATTAAATGGCGTAGTTCAGCTGTCAAACTCCAAAATATGCAAAAGAATGAGAGACAAAAGAAAATAGGATATAACCCTGTAAGCATTAAAAATATACAAAGGTGTTCTCTGTAAAAGGTATTCAGCTCCTTTTCTTCGCAAAACAGAAAGGAGAATTCTACTGCCTGAGGGTTATAATCCCTAAG